AAAAACCAAATTCGATTTTTTGGAAAATCGATTTTGCGTAAAAATTCCCGTTTTTCCTTAATTTTTATGTTGTTTTTCCCGGCGCTTGTGAAAACTACTGGAAAATGTTTACTTTTGACCCCCCAAAGTACCAACTAGATTCACTTTCCTATCAGAAAAGGTACTATTGAAGAAAATCGAAGCACTTTTACTGTCCTAAAACGTGATGACAGACACAAAAATATAAAAATATAAAAATATAAAAATATAAAAACATACATCATTGTAAAACCAATACATTCATCGCTCCGCTCAGAATCTAAAATATAAAAACACACATCATTGTAAAACCAATACATTCATCGCTCCGCTCAGAATCTAAAATTGTGCCTATGTATTTTTAATATAGTATTTCAACAGATATTGTAACATTATATCAGGAGCCTTGTATTAAATTTTTACGCTTTTTTACCCAACAAATAAAATTTTGTTGATATTTATACAAAAAAACAAAAAAAAAAAAAATTGTAAACTGATGTCCAATGTCTTCAAAAGCTCATAAAAAATAGTTAGCTAGACTTTCCGGTAAACTTTTTTTTGTTGAATGTAGAAAAACTTAAGGGAAATATATCATAGTAAATTTTCAAAGCTCAGATATAAATAGAAATTTTTTTATGAATTTCGAACTCGTGATGAATTTTGTCAAAATTTTGACTTTAGCCATAACAATTTTAAAATTTTACGAACTACGTTCATAAAAAATACTGTGGATATTGATTATTGACGCTCAACCTTTTTAATTTCTACTAACATCACTTATGAGAAACGTAGAATTATATTTTCAAGTTTTTTGACCGACCGAAAAATTTTGAATCGACAATAGGTTGTAAGAAGACTCGAATATTTCTAAAATGTTATGGTGCATAGAATTGCTAATTTAAACATTCAGTGAAAATGTCATCTATATATTCAGTTATTTTTTTTTTGAGAAACTAAAAAATAAAGTCAATTTTTTCAAAAACTGGTTTTGCTTAAAAATCTTAGTTTTTCCTGACGCCTTTCAAACCTATATTGGAAATTGTATACATTTTAGGTTTTGACCCCCCCAAAAGTACCAATTAGATCCACTTTCCAGTTTCCTACCAGAGCCTGTTGGCTGTTGAAGAAAATCAATCGAAACATGTTTACTGTCCCAAAAGATGATGACTGATGAGGCACAAATCAAAAAAAAAATACACCATTGTAACATCAATATTGTTTCGCTCAGAATCTAAAATGAATAATTGTATTAAACATATTTAAATTTAGCACCTTAATATAACCTGATAAATCTTAAAATTAATTTCTACACCTATAGATTTTATTAGTTGTTACAATTACCTATAGTAGGGACACTAGTATACCTATCTACAATAGTATCATAGTATATAGTTACTAAAGACCTGCAAGGGCCGGGCCGACCCGACCCGGTCCTTAAAAAGCCCGGCCAGTAGTGACATTGGACCGGGCCGGGCCTTCGAAATAAAATAAAGGGTTGGACCAGGCTTTTTAAGTCTTGGAATTTTATTCCGGATCGGCCCTGGGCTTTTTTTTTTGTACAATTTTTCGGGCCGGGCCGGGCTGGACTTCTAATAATAAATCAGGGGTTGGACCGGGCTTTTTTAAATTTTGGAATTTTATTCCGGGCCGGGCCTGGATTTTTTTGTGCAATTTTTCGGGCTGGACTTCGAATAATAAATCAAGGGTTGGACATTGGACTGGAATTTTAAGGATTTTTCTTCGACAATAAATAATCACAATTTAAAATAATAAATAATAATGATAAGAACCGACCTTGGTACAGATAGATACATATAGAGTATACTCTATGGATAGTAGATACAATCACAATGAATATAATAATATATTGATTGGTATAATAAAGCTATTTATATACCATAATAATATTATATTTTTTTTTCACAATATTTTTTGGACCAGACCGGGTCGGGCTTGAAGACAAAATTGATGGACCGGACCGGGTTTTTTACGAGCTTGGCATTATTTTCGGATCGGGCCAGGGCTTTTTTTTCACAATTTTTTTTGGACCGGGCCGAAAATGTACGGCCCCTCCAGGTCTATAATAGTTACCTTCTACGTGATCAGTAAATTTTATTGTATTACGCGTGTTTTGTACAAATAAATACTAATTAAATCTAATTAGGAAGTATTTAATATATCCGTCAGGCCAATGGTAAGTTCCAAATTCCATTATGTCAGGCTACTCAGGCAAGAACTTACCGGTATCGGCGGTATCCTGGTGGACTAGGCGTCTAGGCCGTCAGCCCGTCCCAGTCCCCAGACTAGACTAGAGGGGTTAAACTGTTAAAGTAACAAAATCTTAGCGATCCCAGCGCAGCCTGTGGCCGTTTAATCATGAGACTCATTACAGTACATTTTTTTATGCGGACGACTATACGGGTTTTTAAAATTTATTTCCTTTATTACGTCCATGAAGATATAAGATAATATATTTTGTCTAGGCTTCATGGTAGCATGAACTAAGATATATATTATCTTAGTTCATGATGGTAGGTATTATTATATCATAGAGTATATAGAGGCGCCCTAATTGAAATAATATGAAGCGGAAATGGAAACAAAACAGTGTAGGCAAACTATAGAAAATATTTTATTGTATATGAACAATAATACAATATTTATTGTAATTTAATTATATTACTCATTATTATTACTCAATTATATCATATTGTTCTATGGTTATATTAACCTTTATTTATAACTATCAATATAATATTAATTATTATAATATTACCAGTGGTATATTGTTACGGGTACGCGGGTATACGCCGTATACCCATCAGAAGATTTTCGATTTTCGGCGTATACCCAATGTAAAATCTTATTTTACGGGTATACGTTTCCAAAATAACCAGAAAACCAAATAAGATTTAAAATGTATTTAATAGTTCATATAGGAAAAAAACGTTATTCGTTATTATGTATTAATGAATTATTTATCAATTGAAGTAGGTATTGAATATAAGTTATATAACAATATGCGTTGTGTTTAATGTATTTTAAGGGTTTAAGTTCAATTTAGTAAACCCAATATTGAATACAAAAAAATCTTAAGGGAAAATTTTATAGATTGTCTGATTGTACCTATAATAATAATGTTATTATTATTTTAATTTTTTTGACATTCGAGTTGATTTTGTTTTATTTTCTATTGTTACATTATAAAAAAATTAATAAAATAATTTTAAAAAATATGTACTTATTGAACTGCAATAACGTTATATAATATATACGATGATATAATTTGATCGTTTAGGTTACATAATATTTTATTGGTGCGTATACCCATAAATATATTTACCAGTACACCACTGAATATTACTGAACTGAACTTGATTTGCACAAATACGTAAATACTATTATAATATGTTATGGGAGGGTAGTAATTTTTGGTGAGGAAATTATCAGTACTATCAATACTTAAATTATTGTAACACACCAGCATCTTAGGTTTGTTCTTAAAATAGTTTCTGAGTAGAAAGTATTATAACATATTCAAAATATTAAATTGGTGGGATTTACGAAAAGTTGAAAATAAGCGCTATCTATCAGTTGCGTTGTTAGTTATTGGAAACCAAATCCGACATGTTTTGCTTCACATAATTCATAATACTTATTCTGATAGGGCATCTCTATATACTCTATGTATTATATTATAAAAAATAGTATACTTATTTAATAGGCGAATTACCCGATGAGGGATGGCCGATGCCAACCGAATCAACCATGATGAAAACCACAATTTTTAATATCATCATAGAGACCTCACTGGTATAGTGCGTGTTGTTGGTCACACTGTCGAGCTAACTGTCAATTCTTGAATTCGAATGTAAAATGCAAATTGTAATATTTGTAATCGTAATTCGTAAACTCGTCGGATACTAGAATATCACAATTCACAACCGTCCGTGGTCCCTATCCTACACTTTTTTTTAAAAAGTGTATCGTTTTAATTATTCTAGAAAAATTTGAAAATTCAAAGTAACGGTTCTTATTAATAATTAAATAAAGTGATAAATTTATTAAGTGATTATTAGTTAACTCAAAATTTGTTAGTTATTACTTGTAAGTTATAAGATATATCTTATATAATAAACCCTGTGTTACAATAAAATATTGTTACAGTTTAGTGTACCAACAGCGAACTATATTTTGTAAACTGGTTGTCCGTGATTTCAATAGTCAATTATTCCTTCAATTTACTGATTGCAGTTTTTTCTTTATGGTAGTTTTTAACATTGAATTCAGTGTTCAAATGAATATGTGTGTGCCATTCTTTTGTCTGTAACATAAAATTTATCAGTTTTTGTTCTTTAAATAATAATTGAAAATGTAAGTAAATCAATATATTTCTATAATCAACATAATTAAAATAATATAAGTAGTTAAGATAATGTTAGCACTCTATTGGTTTTCTCTCTTCTCCATGTGTAAAGCGCAATATAGCAAATTTGAGTTCAGCAAAACCAATAATGTGTTAGCTTAATGTATAGTGATAACCTATTATTAAGAATATTATCTACCTAGAGAATTAATACATTAATATTTATCTTTAATTGATACCTATTTAATAATTGCAATTATATTATGATTTATACGATTAAAATATTAATAAAAGCCTAATGACTCGAAAATATTAAAGCAGACAACATCAAATTGGTTTGGCTAAACTCAAATTTTCTTTAATTCGCTAGATCACAGAGAGAAAACAAATATCGAATTTACATCTTCATAGGAACCCAAGTATTAATATTTATTGTTTTTATTATATGGTGCTCTATTTTATAACAAAATATAAAGTAAAATTACAATTAAGTAGGTATTCATTTTTGTTAAAAAAAAATAATGCTAGCTATCATTTCAACTTAAAATTAAGTACCTAGGTACTTTAATAGTAGTTTAATTTCAATAAAATAATTTATTTTTCCAGTCTTAACAATATGGATTCCATAAGAGTAGCAATTCGTGTTCGTCCTCTTGTAAAATCTGAATTAGATCGTGGATGTTCAAATTGTGTGTTAGCAGATTCCATTAATCAGCAGATAATTGTGAATAACAATGCTAACCTAACGTTTACATTTAACTATGTATTTAGTACTGAACATTCTCAAAATCAAGTCTATCAATCGGCTGTTGAAGATTTAGTTCAAAAATTGTTTAGTGGTAAGTACATAATTTTTTTTATATTTTTATATAATTATTTTGTATTAATAAGTTCCAATTCCGATTTTATTTTAGGATATAATGTTACCATATTAGCATATGGTCAAACTGGTTCAGGTAAAACTCATTCAATGGGAACAAATTTTGTAGATGATGAAAATGAAGACGAAAAAGGTATTATTCCACGAGCCATCCAAAATATTTTCAACGAAGTGCAAAATAAATCAGAAGAAGCTACATTTTCAATTAAAGCATCATTTATCGAAGTATTTTATTTTATTTTATTTTATTTTATTTTATTTTATTTTATTTTATTTTATTTTAGTACTTTATTTTATTTTTATTTTATATTTACTTATAATAATTATACCAATATTTGAGTCTTATCAAATTGTAAATTTATCACCTTAATTTAGTATTAATTTATTTTATTATAAGTTCTAAATAGTAATTAGATGGGAAAAAAAAACTAAAGTAAAGTCTCGTGCAAATATGCACGGCCTATGCTTTTTAACCATGAATTATATTGCAAAAACTATCTTATTATTATATTTAACTTTATAACTGCAAACACAAGGTTGGGTAGATCAATAAGAACCTGGTGTATGGTTTTGGTTTTATTGTAATTCTTCTTTTCTTAGGTTATTAGGTCTCTAGGAACTAACCCATCTCATACACATCTTTCTCTATATATTGCTTTTTTCTTATAATTCAGACCTCCAATCTTCCCCATTCCTTTTTATTATATTGTCCCTTCATGTTTTGGGTCTTCCCATCTGTATTTTTCCACACAGATTTTGCTCTATCACTGCTTTTATTAGCTCAATTTGAGTACTTCAAGCATACACTTGAATGTAAACTTCTCTTACTTAATATTATATATTTGTACTTTGGAATAAAATCTCTTTCTCTATATTTTTCATTCTCTATTAGTTTCATCTTTGGTTGGCCTGAAGATTAACCCAGATTACTTTTTCCAATACCGAATTCAATAATATATTTGATAAATTGTACATATCATATTAATTAATTATTATTATCACATTGCCTCAGTAATATAGGATTAGTTGATTCAGTGCTGAATCAGAAAAAAACCCAAATATTTAAATCTTGCTTTTCTACAAGTCAGTAATTCCTTATAGGTAATTTAATTTCTAACTATTGGATGGGATGATCTAAGAAAATACTAACTTAATGTAGTCATTCTTCTTTCCCTCGCCCACCCAATCAAACAGAGTATTTATTGATTGAAAAATATTGTGTTTTATATTTAGCTATTATATTTATACATATTAAATAATTAAAAATTAATTTACAGCTTTATCAAGAACAAGTGTATGACCTCTTATCCCCTAATAGAGCTACTCTTGATATTAGAGAAGACGGCCGTGGAATTTGTATTCCAGGATTAACTGAAATAAGTGTATCTGATTTTTCTTCAACACTTCAATGTTTAGTACAGGTAATTATTTTTAATTATTTGGATTTTGAAATATTTTTTTAACAATATATTTTGTTTATTAAATTATGATACTTGTTTTAGGGTTCTAGTGGTAGAGCAACTGGAGCGACTGCAATGAATGCTCAATCATCTCGTAGCCATTGTATATTTACATTAACCATAAGTCAAATGCAAGAAAATGGGTAAAATATTTTCCTAGTAATATAATTATTTTTTACTAATAAGTAATAACTGTTTAGA